AATTCGATACGAGGAGTTAGAGACAACCTATGATCGATTGCTCTGATACCATGCTAAAATATGAATACGGGTTTTCAATATGTTCAGATAAATTTATTCTTCTCCATAAGGAGGTATATATAAAGAGTTTACAAGGGTGCTATATAAGGAATTAGATACAGGAAAGAATTAGGAAAGTATCTCCTAATTATACAAAGATTTATCAATTATATAAAATAGGAAAGTAAATCCCTTAATTAATCAAGGAAATAAATCTCCTTGATTAATTAGGAGACTCACTTCAACAAGGGGTGTCGAACAGTAAGGGCTCATGATCTGAAGGTGGGTATCGTTCAGCACTCGTCATTATCTCTTTGGAATGAATTACGCAGGCTTTCCCTTGGACTTGAAATGGGGGTATTGCCAAACAACTTTGAAATGAGATGGTGGTTTGGTCATGCAAGGCATGCAAAGTGATAGCCATATTTTGGTTGGCTTTTCCTTGATCCCAATGTATTGAACATGAATTTGGGCGAGACACAATCACTTGAAAATAATTACCTTTTGTAAATTTCTTGTATGGGGTATGTAATTGTTTGGTTTCATTCAACACCAAAACTAGCAAACTCATCCAAAACATTCATTCATATAACACCAAAACTTAACTATGATATTAGAGAATAACATATAGAGCATGCATGTACTTAGTTGAGCAGCCTCTCTATAAAAAAGAAGAAAAGACTCACTTTAAAAACCAAACATTGCTATATATAAAGATCGATTTTGGCCAATTGCTTTTTATTTGATAATAATATTCAAATTATTCCATCGGGCATAATATCGAGCAATTTATTTGCTCTTTTTTCACCTGAAAACGATCAAACGTCGAACAAATCACTAACAATTGAACATGCAATAACAAGCATAATCAGTTTGAGCAACATTGGCAATGCATGTATGTCCAGCATCTTGGTGTTTGTTCCAGCACTTCTTCCCGCAGTCTAATAAAGTACACCCGCTTGGATACAGCTGCTCATCACATCTCTTTTGTGCATAAGCTTGAGGCACGTTTTGGTTGTTCAAGGCAACTGCAACATCATCAAATTTATATAAGTGAAAAATAAAAATTTCTTTCCCGCAGAGTATATCTAAAGCAATTCTATTCAATTTACAAGGCATCATAGAATAGAATGATTTTATGTTTTTTGTGTGTGTTTTCAATCTTCCTCTTCTTGGGTGCCGAACAATGTGGTATATAATAAAGTGTTATGCAAAGGCAATTAAAAGATAGCTTGCATGCTTTTTATGACTCAAGCCATGCTTAAGCGGCAAAAATTCGTTGGGATAAGTAGGACTTGCTGTTAATGGTGTCAGGGACGGACCCAGGAATTGTAAATCGGGCGGGCTAAATTTACCTTAAGTACAAATATATTAAGAAAATTTACCTTGAGTTTTAGGCTTGAACAATAGATTTTAGGTACTAAAAACTAAAGGTAACCCACAGAGGTGGCTAAATTTTTTTGAGGTAAATTATAAGCCCTTGTTTGTTATATTTTTATTTTATATAAACACTTTTTCAGTATATTTTCTTCATCGTATTTAGAACTTTTTGTTATTATACGACATTTGAAACAGAGAAAATGGTTATAACCCAAAAGAAAAAAAAAACAAATGAAAAGCACCGAAAAAACTGACAAAAGATAAGACAACAAACCTGAGAAAACAAGAACTAGAAGGAAGAAACGGAAGAAAGAAAACCTAGACATCTCAAGCAACTATGTGTGTAACAAATGTGTATATTTCTGCTTTGTGGAATGTTGGGGAAGAAGACTCCGTGGAGAAGAAATATAGGGAGGGTGGGGATAAGCGGGTAACAAAACAAGGAAAGCTTTTAAACATGTTTTCCTTTTTTTTTTAATGTAGTCAGATATTTGCTATGTTTATATAGTAGTTATATTACATTTTACCTTAACGTTATGTTTGCTAAGAAAAACAAATTCATCTTACCTTGTTCTCAATTTTCTTTTCCATCTTCAATTTATAAAGAGCAAATTGAAAACAAAATAAATTTACCAAACGAGTAATTCAAATATAATACTATTTCAAATATTTCCTTACAATAGGTGATGTAGCATATGTTGACGTGAGTGAACCTACTAAATTAAGGAGATTTATTTCCTAAGTTAATTAGGTGATTTATTTCCTTATTTCATATAGTTGACACATCCTTGTATAATTAGGAGATATTCTCCGAATTAATTACTGTATCTATTCCCTTGTAAAGCACCCTTGTAAACTCCTATATGTACTTTCTTATTGAGAAGAATACAATTAACCTAAAGTAATCAAACCATATTCATATTTTAGCATGGTATCAGAGCAATCGATCCTAGGTTGTCTCTAAGCCCTCAAATCATGCCATCAAATTCAAACACAAACCTAAATCAAATTCCTCAAATCCAAATCCTAAACTCTCAAATCAAATCCTCTTATCAAACTCCCTCAACACATATCTTTATCTTACCCTCAAATTGTTCCGCAGCAATGGGCGATGTCTTGCTTCCGCCCAATGTAGGATCTTCTACCTCCACTCCTCAAATCGTTACTATTCAAAGTGACAACTCCCCGCTCCCTGCCGGCGTCACCCTGACTAAGACCAATTATGTCTTATGGTCTCAAGTCATGGAGATGAGCATTGCTGCTCGCGAAAAAATGGGTTACCTAATTTCTAACACTCCAAAGCCTCCTGAGATATCGTCCACCTACAACAAATGGTGTACCGAGAACTTTCGGGTCAATAGGTGGTTAATCGACTCCATGTCCCCTAACTTGATAAGTCTTTTCATCCGGTTAAGTACTGCCAAAGAAATCTAGGCCACTGTCAAGAAGACCTACTATGATGGTGGCAATGAAACATATCTTTTTTATCTCAACAAACGGGTGTTCACTATTAAACAGAATGGTGCACCTGTTCATAAATACTACAGCCAGCTGCAGGGCATCTTTCAAGATATTGACCATTTGAGTCCCATCCACATGCACTACGCCTCCGATGTGACTGAGCGTCAGACAAAACTCGATCGTCTTCGTGTTCACCTGTTTTTGGTCATTCTTGACCCTGAGTTTGATCAAGTCCGGGTCGAAATCCTACGCAAAGATCCTAAATTAAACCTTGATCTAACCTTTGCCTATGTTTGTCGCGAAGCTCAATAGAGAATGACCATGACTAGTGCTCAGGAAGCTTCTGTCATGGTAACTCAACGTCAAAGGGGGCCCCAGAATTCTACCGGTGGCTCTTCTCCAGAGAAGAAGTGCACCCATTGTTGAGGAGACAAACATACCCGTGCTAGTTGTTACGAACTGATTAGGTAGCTTGATTGGTGGGACCATTCCAAAGCTCCCAACAAGAGAATGACCATGACTGGTGCTCAGGAAGCTTCTGTCATGGTAACTCAACGTCAAAGGGGGCCCCAGAATTCTACCGGTGGCTCTTCTCCAGAGAAGAAGTGCACCCATTGTTGAGGAGACAAACATACCCGTGCTAGTTGTTACGAACTGATTAGGTAGCTTGATTGGTGGGACCATTCCAAAGCTCCCAGCAAGAATAGGAGCAAATCACTCAACACATCTTCCGAATCAGATCTTGTAAGTCCTATGGTTTCGGCTACATCTTCCAGCATCTGCCTCTATAGCCACAACAGGTACCAAAGGTTATGTTTTAAATACTTCATCCAAGAAAAACACATGGATCATTGACTTAGGAGCAACTAACCATATGACATTTGATCCTGGACAAATTGCCTCTCATACACCATCTCCTCAATCGGTGGTGTCTAATGCTAATGGTACCCCCTCCCTCGTGATTGGGGAGGGTTCTCTTTCTCTCCCTAACTCCCTCAATTTGGATTATGTGTTGATTGTTCCATCCTTGCACCATAATCTATTGTCTGCTGCCCGAATTACTACGGCTTTGGATTGCACTGTAACCTTTTGGCCAACTCATTGTTTTTTTAGGACTTTCTCAGCAGTAAGACGATTGGTTGTGGTACTAGAAGGGGCGAACTCTACTACATGGACTTAGCGCCTGACAGTGAAGCCAAAGTCGATCAAGCTTTCAAGATTGGGGGAGCTAGTGTTGAGAAAGGACCTGACTAATAGCACCTAGTCGGCTGATTTTTTAAATTTATTTTTTAGCAGCCATAGCTGCAGCACAGTTATACTCTGTGCGGAGGTCACGGGTACTTGCTCTCTAAGATAAGGTACGAACTAGTGCTAGTAAGTGAACGAACCTGTGAATTCTCACTAAGACGTGTACGAAAAAGGGAAGTATTATTGAAAAATATGTACATATGTGTATAATACGAGTATTAAATGGGAAAAATGCTAAATTCTTTATACGAGTAATAACTCTGGAAAAGTAAAAAATGAAAAGGGGACAATAGAGACTCGGGTAATGGCCTAATAGAAATGGATAATGTTCTAAACTAATCTTATCGATAAACAACAATAAGGGGAAAAAAATTATAAATAAAAAAAAGAGGATCCCAATATATATTTAAAGAGTGTAGCCGATCGGCTATACTATTTATTTATAAAAAAAATTAAAAAAAAAGGACCACAGTATAACCGGCCAGCTAGCTATGCTCTTTAAATATATTTAAAGGTATAGCCCCGCGGCTATACTATTTATTTTTTTACAAAAAGAGGACTCGCCCAGCCCCGATAGGAACTGATTCTCGTTTCGTAGGCATGCCATAATTTTGAACTGATACTCGTTTCTTTCGCTTTATCATTTAAGCTTATGTGTAACATACACAAAAAGTTTAGGTTATACTGTAGTGTTGTTAATATGTGCTGCATGACATTCCTTTGTTGTTTTTTTTACTTTGAAGTTGCTATCAGGAGGCTTTTTACGCTTTCAAGGAATTTGTGACAAAACAATTTCTAAGTCTTTGCATTCTATCAAAAGTTTTTCTCATTGGATCAGCTTTTAACTTGTAACTTTCTTGGTTGACTTGCCTCACATAAGATTGAAGTTCTTAGTTATGATGACCGTATGGAGCTGTGCTTCTTTCGGGCATGAGTTCGGAAGCCTTTTATCCAGCTATTGATGATGGTTTCTATACTATGATTGGAGAAGGATCAGGAGCAGGTTACAACATTAATGTCCCCAGGGAAAATGTGTGGGGATGCAGACTATTTTGTAGTTTGGGACCATATTTTGGTTCCTAGAATTGCAGCCAATAACACACCCTCCCTTCCCTGAAAAAACAAAAAAAAGGGCAATTCCAGAAAAACATGCTCTCCAAAACCAGATAATTTATGCATAAAACTACATAGAAATTTCTCATAAATAAGAACACCTACAATATTTACCTTCAGAAAGTAAGATGTCAGCAATTTCATATTAACTGATTATATACTATCATCTATTTCGATCATTTGGAATAATGAGGTCATCATATTTTGTTTGGCCTGGATGATCATTATAGTTTATAATCGTCATAAACTACCATTTGCAAACCAATGATCTATAACAAATATCCAAAAAGCAATTCATGCACAAGAACCAATTGATCATCATATAAATTCCCAAAGAAGAAAAGGCTTGTAACTCACAGGTTAAGTAGCTTAGATGGTGCGGGACGTAATACAGTTAATGCCTCTTTCCACTGCCACTGGCGTTCAGATAACGAAAGAAGACACTGCAAAATTGACAACTGCCATTCCCACTCTTTAAATGTTTAGCAATTGATGCTCTCCACTCCAATGCTTGTCTTCCACCCCTACTTACGCCATCACTTAGAGCATGATCTAGTTCAGTTATAAACTTATAGTTGAAGGAAGACAGTGATGTAATATATCTAGTAGTTTCCTCGTGAAAGATACAACTAATTTGTTTCCCTCTTCACGTGTTAGATCAGTTTTCTCTGAAATACATGTGTAATGTGATTCAGAATAGCTCCATGTTGAGGCACAATGAGCCAAATTGAGAGAAACATCATCCATATGTAAAAGCGAACTTATGACATTCGCCATCATGATCTGCATCATTACAGAAGCATTATAAAATAATTACAATGAAGAACAGGAAAAAAGATGCAGCAAATTAATAAAACTGATGACATCACAAACAAATTGAGAGCATTTAGATTTCAAAGGAAAACATGAAACTTCAAAGTAAAATTGAACAAAATACCAAAATGTGATCCATTTAGCAGTTGCTAATTCTCTAGCATCAGAACATGAATGATAAATAATTTGTTTTGCGTGCATTTTTTGGTGACTATATTTTACACAAAACAACTTTCAAAGACAACAGGCAACAGATTTGCTTGAGGAAACATGTTAGACATGTAATTGCAAGTTGAACTTATCTGGCATAAACATGAGAAAATAACAGTTTTAACAACCACAAAAAAGACGTACGATTGAAAATGTTAGGCTAAAAGAAAACCATATTCAGAATAGACTACCTTGCGAGGGATGTCATTGACAGCCTCCAAATGGTTTTGTAGATCTTTCAAATGGTCAAATGCAACTTGATGAAAACTTTCTTTCACCAGTCATAGTCCTTTCCATCACTCCAACCGCAAGAACAGCTAAATCTAGAGCATACCACATGTGCATAAGTTCAATATCCTGCATCCTACCATATAATAAAATAGAACAGAGAAACGCGAAACCATCAACATGTGAAGAAAAGCATGTCAAATCCCAAAATGACAAAAATATGAAATACATTGAGTGCAAAATTCGTTTGCAGATCTAATTTAAGGGTTGGAGAAATCCATTTTCGGGATTGGGGCAGAATTCTCCCTTGGATGCATAATGCATTGGCCTTCTTCCATTTCATTCCCCTCCACCTCCCCACCCCCTGCACACACACACACACAACAAAAAAGACTCCCACAAACTTGCGAGTTACAACACAATATGACATTATTATTATATTAACGTATCAAAACTAACAGAAATATTATAATAGCTTCTCTTGGGGGGTGTTTGTTAAAGCATTTCAAAGACTACTGTAGTGTAACTCATGTTGATTGGACAGAGTTTTGGGCTGAATGTAATCTGATTTCATATGTCATCTCATGATTGTTGGTCTGATTTTGATGGTTTTCTACAAAATATCTTTGAAGATGAAAAGAACAAAGAAATAGTTTTCCTTTCTCTGTTTTCTTTCTAGCCCATCTTTCTTGTAGGTTTTCTTTCTCTGTTCTGAATAAGATACAATTTTCCTTGTCAAAACAACAAAGATATAGACCAGAACAAGATTTTTTTGAGGATTTTGAGGACTTACCCGAAGTGGACTTTGATTTCCAGTACGAAATTCTCAACAAAAGGGTCTAACAGGTGATCTTCGCATGCTATTTGTTCTTTAGCAGACAACATCAACGATAATTTTCAATTGCATGCTTGACCAGAATTAGCACAGGCGACAGACGAGGAAAGATCAAGCCGATAACACAAAGAATCACAAGAAAATTTCGACAAATTGGGCTAGGCGGCCTGGGCGGCTGTGTGCAATATCAAATTAGTTTCTTTAGGTTTTTTTATTTTCTTTTTTGTAATTAAACAATATCTTTGCTTTATTTTAATTACTTTTATTAGTAATTACGTTTTAACTATTATTTATTTAGTGAACAATTAGTATTAAATATGTTAATTAAATTCATAAATTATATTACTTAATAAATATTAATTATTATGTTGTAATATTTTTCGGACTTTAATTTTTTGTGGAATAGCTAATTAATTAATATTTTTAATTGAATAATATCTTAGTCTTATTTAATTAATATAATTACTAATTAGCTTTTAGTTATTATTTGTTTCATAAATTACTTATCAAATAGTAATTAATTTTTATGAATTATTTTGTGCTCTTAAAAACCAAGAAAGTGGTTGCAACATAGTAAGTATATATCACAAAAGAACCAATACATACATATAGTATACTTGGTTTGCTTATGAACTTAGTGTATAGTGGTTACATGTCCTCAAAATATGAAATTGATGGGTTCTACTCGCTAAAATCCGAGTCTACAGTTTTGGTGGGTTGATGCTAGAGATAATCAGTGGGAAGAGAAACATAGGATTTACTCATTGTTGCTTTTTTTTGTTTCTTCTTTTAAGTAAGCACAATGATTTTGAACTTTTGATAAATTCTTTTAGGCATGAATGCTATACACAGAAGGCTGGTCCATTGAAGTGCTTGATACATCATGATAGGGGACTCAGGTGATCCACATGAAGTTGTGAGATTATTTCATGCATGTAGGTCTTTTATATGTGCAGCGTAACCCGGGAGATAGGCCGAGCATGCTAGTTACAGTGAAAGGGATCTCAATGAACTCGAAGTCGGTCATTCTTTTAAAGCATTCTCAACAAATGAACGCAAATGCTTCAAATTTGGGCAAAGATTCACGAAGTTCCAAATTGCTTGAGGAAGGATCTCCAAAAATGCCACTGCAATGTGCACGTGTTATAAGGTATGCAATTACAGTCACTTCAATCATATGCACTTAGCCAGTTACTGATAGGGGAAACCAGTCTAGAATTTTCAAATTCTTTAGAGAATATGTGTTTTTTGTCGTTTTTGACCATTGTGTGATATTTATTATGTGTAGTCTGAGATGGCTATTTCGACTTTAAGGACTATTTTGAATCTCTATGTGATACTGTGGACAGTGGTAAAGACTTCTATATTCTTTGAAAGCTATTTAGAGGCTCGGGTAATTATTTCTATTTACTTGGCGGTCCCAACCCAAACCATATATATGCAGTTTGAGTTTGGCGTTGTATAACTTAATGAGAAGACTTGGGGAACTGAACCATGCATATTCCCTTCTAATGGCTAGCTCACCCTTACCGTCACCCTCATCCACACACTAGTAGCAACAGTTTACATATCGAATCAATGGTCAATAAGCTTTCCAATAACTTATTTGTTCTAGATAAGCAGCTGTGAGCCTGTGGTAATGAGAGGGTACTAAAGAGACAGATACTACTACTTGTGTGTGTGTATATATATATATATATATATATAGGGTGGATCTATGACACCATATTTTTGACATACGTTTTGACACAAGTTCTTGACTATTAGATTAACACATTATAAATGGTTGAGATTAAATCTCACTACTATTTATTACTATCTTTTTAATAATACTTTTTGCCTAAATTACTATTATTTTAATAGACCAATTATGAATTGCATAGTTCCCATGATTCTCTCTCTATATCTCTTCTCCGTGCCCACCATTGGCTCTACTTCTATCCCTCTTCCTCCATGGCCACCATTGACTACATCAATCAAGAATGCCAGCAGCAATCAACAACCGCCATCTATTAATTAAAAAAAATCTCTTCCCATCCTTCATCAGGCCAACAAGCATAACCCAATTCCTCCAAGGCTTATCAAGATCATATATTTAGTGCCTCAAAGTTCATCAAATTATTCAAAGTGAAAGCTTGAACATGTTCAATGGATTAGTTGAACCAACCCCTGCAGACTATTCTCAAGCAATTATCTCACATCTTACCAGCCATTATACAGTTTTACCAAGGCTCAATGATGAGACAAGTAATTAACTAAAGAATTAGGAATTTTTCTATCAGTTTTAATTATTAATTCAAGTTTTTTTTTTTTAACAAACCTATTTCGTTTTAAGAAACAAAACCAGAACAGCAGGAGACATAAACCAAAACAGAGCAGAGAAAAAAAATACAGATGACTTATGGCCCTTGTTCCATCTTCAGTTTCTTAGAGGGCATGGCAGCCCATCCACATGAGTTAGGACTGATGAGGGTCGGTCCACCCAGACCTCTTCGTGCATCATCCTCTTCTCCCAAGATGCCATAGCATCTACTGGAGAGTTTAGGTTGTACATTTGATAGATACCCAAGGGTGGGCATGGTGGAAGAGAGATGAGGCGATTTACATGGAGAAAAAAAAGGGAGTTTTGGGACCCGTGCCAGTCTTAATTATTCTAATAAAATAATAATAACTTTTCAATAAAAGTATTATTAACATGATAATAATCAATTAGTTGTGAGATTTAATCTCATCCATTTATAATGTGTGTTGACGCCAAAAAGTGGTTCTTTGACTTAGAGGGTCAACTTAGTAAATTTGTGTCTTCGGTAGACTTGATGCTTCGGTAGACTGTGCGATCTGCAATAAAAGCAAGTGCACGGTAAGACCTAGGGCATCGGTGTGGTACCGGCCGAAGGCTCTCCGATGCTTAAGTAAGTTCGGGAATAGAAAGTTCAACTGGCAGATCAATAGGCTTGTGTGCCGTAAGTTCTGATTACCTCCATTTTGGGATAGTTGGCCTCCTTTTATAGCTCTTGGGAGGTGTGCATTTTGTTGATTATTTCGATGTGGGACTGTGGGCGTCGCTTGGGAGCGCGCCACGTGTCCCAGGAGAGGGCGTTGCCCTAATGGAGAGATCGGTAGGCAGGGTGCCGAGGGCGCCTCTGACCAAGCCCAGTTT